ATTATAGTTATCAACCAAATCAGCATATATATTGATTGAACAATGATCATTACTTGGTAGATCTGTATAGTAGAAACAAACAGAAATATAGAAAAAGTAAAATAAGTTCAAATGTTAACAGGACAACGACGGGTGGCCTGTTTCGAGCTCCTAACCAAAGTACACAATGTGTAGCAGATGCATTCCAAGTAGCTCCTAGAAAAGGGGGTTAGGGGACAGTCCCCTAATCAAACAAAAATCTTTTAATGAGGAAATGTATCTCAAAATCATACGGTCGCAATGCGAAGAATTGAAATAAAAATGTAAAGGTTTTGTTATTATTCTAATAAAGATATTGTAATAATTTTCTTTCATTTATCATACTCAAATTTTATTGATGTATGTTTGGCAATATAATCATATACATTATATGTCACTAATGTTATGTGACTGTAGGCCTATAAGTTCATTGTGCCACGTGGTTTAATGTGTCCTGTATATGGCATGTTGTATACGCCGCATGTATGCCGTGCATGTATGAACTACCAATTTCCAGTTGTTAACCAGCCCTAAATTGCCGATTGGGTAGTTTCGGGCTGGTTGGGGCGAAATAATTATATGAAGAAAAATAAATGCTACTACAAAGTCATATGATATGAATTATATATATATATATATATATATATATATATATTAATTATATATATATATATATATATAATATTAATTTAGTAAATAAGCTATTCATAACCCCCTCTGAATAAGTCTGAACTGACCGAGAACATGAGCCGTAGCACACCTCCACTGAACGACGTCGGACGTTTAGTTAGGTGTCGAGTCAACAGATGGCGGCTGGTGGACGACCGGGGAGTTCACATTTTTAGAATGTGTTAGATAGCATGTTTCCTGTCTTTCGTATATAGTCTTTGGTTCTAGGTTGGCGTTCTCTAAGGTCTAGCTTGGGAGTGTATCTGACTGTAGAATTTACCTCTAGAATTTATGACAAAGCATGGGATATTTGCGGTCTGGATAGAAGCTGCAGGACCTTTATGCAGAATATGGTGTTGATTTAGGTGGACTTGGCTGTTCAGGAAGGTTTCACGTCTTTCACCATTGCGAGAACTTTAGCAATCACCGGGTAACAAAATATAAATTCCTAAGTCTTGCTATCTAAAGCTTTAAAGGGTCTGAAAGCATTTGAAAGCAAAATATTAGGAGTCGGGCTTCTGTAGTCAATTACAGGCCTATTAAGTAAAGTATACATCAGCTTTAGGACTCTGAGGTCGTTAACTGCGTACCTGCAATGCCGAAAATACTGCAATGTTCCTGGATATTTTCATGACATATGCCGCGTTGTTTATCGGTAATTTTGTATGGAAAAGTGTTATATATATATATATATATATATATATATATATATATATATATATATATATATATATATATATATATATATATATATATACATACATACATACCAGGCCTTCTTGTAGACGGATTTATAATATTGAGGCTATCGTGATCAGTGTAATTTTCCCTTAATTTTCCCACGAACACAATTTTTGACTTTCTGAAGGCGACACATATCCTTCCTTGAGTGAGGATACTGAGCTGATTATCTAGCGATTCTGGATTTTTAAAGATATTTCAGGTATCCACTACAAGAAATTATTTGGAACCATCAGTTCTCAGTTTGCCCCTTTCCCAGGCCTTCAACAGGGTGCTAGAAAACTGAGCTGTAAAGTTCTCATTGCTTGAGGAGGAATGCTAAACTTTTCATCGAATAAAAATTGTTGTTCTGTTGTTATTTCAAGAGCATCATATCGACTATTCGTCAACTTCATATTCCAGCTCAGCATTAGTCGGTTTCTACTTTATTTTGCTTCTTGAATCTTGGTTGGTTTCTTGCTTTCAAAGAGGAACTAGAGCAGGTGTTAGAGATGATATTAAAGTCGATGTTAGAGCTCGTGGGACGGCTGTTCCGGGTGCTGCCATCTGTTGAGGGCCAGTGCGTCAAATCACGTTTTTCCCTCTTGAAGAATTACTTTCATCCAATTATTAAGGTTTGAGATGATTTTCCTGAAGGAGGAATGTGTGCTTTCATGTTGTTTTTGTTATTTCATTATATTATCTATTTTTTTCATCTTTAGAGTAGTCTGTAGACGAAGTATGCGTGATGGGAAATTGTTTTTTGTACCTGGCGGGATATACTTTCACCTTATTGCTTTCTTCTTCCTTCTTTCTTTCTTCTTTATGCATAATCTGGACCAGCATTGCATAGCATCGCATGTGCATGAACGTGCCTCATGCCCCTACTTTGAACAATTTGAACAAAGTGGGACAAGAGAGATTTGGAGACAACGCCATCTGAAGGGTACCAAGGCATTCAAAACCTTCTAATAGTTTTGGAAACCCACTCGTGTGTTGTGACGACCTTCGGCTCCATTATCGTTCATACGCTTGGCATGTGAACTATTTTCATGTAGATTGTTGTATCATTGGTCTCGATTTCTTTTGAGATCTCGGATACTATTAGGCTGATGCGTGGCCTTACAAAAAAAAAAAAAAAAAAAAATGCTTTAACAAATTATATGTGTAAATGATCTCCCTGTTCTCGCGTCGGACTTTGATATTGTTCCAGAAAGATTGATCGACAGATAAAATGAGTGAGAGAAAGAGTGAGGAAGAGAGAGATTCAGTAAGAGAGAGAGAGAGAGAATAAATGAAAGAGAGAGTCGGAGGCAGACAGACAGACACACAGACAGACAGAGTTAGAGAGAGAGATAAATAAGAGAAAAGAGTAAGACGGATAAATACCAAGATAAAATACAGACAAAAAAAAATAAATAAATAAAAAATAAACAAAACAACAAAAAATCAAAACAAAGACAATGCTTCAACCCCTGACCGGAGAAATACAGACACACGAACCAACACACACATACAAACACCACAACCAAACAAAATGAAAACAAAGACCATTCCTACCCCCTGACCAACACAGCCTCACCCGGGGCCTTTCAAGAACACCGCTTCACCCTCCGCCCAGCTCTTCGACCTTGTCATCTGAAGGATACAATGCCAAAGCCCCAAGATGATCTCCGTCAGTTGGATCGCCTTACCACGCGGCTGTCATCTCGCTCCGATCCCCCTGTCGGCCTTTTAAATGCTTTATTAGGTGTCATTAAGTATCTATCGTCACTCTGCGTCTGTCGGCCTATTTATAGGTTCTCGGATCTGTTTTATTTATTTTTTGTCGGTCATCTAATTTTTTTTTTCTTGTTTTCTATCTCGTCTCTCTCTCTCTCTCTCTCGGCTCTCTCGTGCTCT